TCAGCTCTTATTGACCCTTGCTAGGTACACCCGGCACAGCTCAGAACAGAAGCCTGGCTCCTCACCTGCTCCCAGTCTCCAATCTTCCCTGCCCAAATCCTCCTCAAGCCCATGCACCACACTGCTACCATTTTTCTTGAACTTGAAATTGAAAGTATAATTCACCTTTTCAACACCCCTCAATACTTCTCTACTGCCCATTAAATAAAATCTGAACTCCTTAGCTAGGCATACATGGTCATCTTGCTCCTTGCCTGTTATCCAATATGTTGAATGACTAAAGGAGAGAAGGCAAAACAAAACAACGACAACAAAACCCCACTAAAGACAGAATGCACTAGTGAATTCCAGGGCAGAAGCTGAAAATTAAACGAGATGTTGGAGGAGAGAGTCTATGACTCTGGAGGGAGACAACAACAAATTTGAGTGCAGCCTCTGGCTTGGCTCTGAGCTACAGGAGTAAGTCTGTTAGACAGCATTCCCAATTGGGTGCATTATTTTCTCCTGTATATATCTCCCCTACCAGGACTAGAAATTTTTGTTGTTGTTTTTGTTCTTTGAGATGGAGTCTCACTCTGTCACCTAGGCTGGAGTGCAGTGATGTGATCTCGGCTCACTGCAACCTCCACCACCCAAGTTCAAGCGATTATCCTGCCTCAGCCTCCTGAGTAGCTGGGATTACAGGTGCCTGCCACCACACCCAGCTAATTTTTGTATTTTTAGTAGAGACGGGGTTTCACCATGTTGGCCAGGCTGGTCTCGAACTCCTGACCTCAGGTGATCCACCTGCCTCAGCCTCCCAAAGTGCTGGGATTACAGATGTGAGCCACCTCACCCAGCCTAGGGCTCAAAGATTTTACAGTCATTTCTGACTATCCCTTTCCCCATATTCCTGTCACATTGGCCAGTCAAGCCCACCCTTTCACAGTCTCTTTACTCCCTCCTTAGTCCTCATTCTTGCTGCCTTGGGAATCTAATCCTCACTGCCTCATATTTACAATACTGGATGCATATCCTACATGGCCACTCATTCAACAGCATGGCCCTGTGCTAGATGCTGGAGACACAGACATGAATGACACAAGACCTCCAGCCTGACCTCCCTACCTTTGCCAGGACAATCTTGCCGACTTTTAGCAAGTTAGTCTCCTGCTCAGGGACTTCTAAAGGCACCCTGATGCCTACCCAATCAATTCTAAATTCATACGTTGCTTTATTTTAATCACTCAACAAGTACTACTAAAGGCTTACTGTGTGCCAGGCAAACCACGTATAAGGCAGTGGTCAAAACAGGCACCGGCCCTACCCTTAAGGAATTTACTATCTAGTGGGGAAGACAGACATAAAAGCCATAATCACAGAAATAATGAAAATAGGGCTGAGTGCAGTGGCTCACGCCTGTAATCCTAACACTTTGGGATTTCATTATTGAGTTATAAGGGCTTGCAATTTGGCTCTTGGTTGGTGTAAAATACTCGTCCGGAACAGAATTAGTATTTGAGGTACCTGAGACCCAGAGATTTGGTGATGACTCAAGTGTTAAGTGAAACCCTGTCTCTACTAAAAACACAAAAATTAGCTGGGCGTGGTGGCACCCGCCTGTAGTCCCAGCTACTCCGGAGGCTGAGGCAGGAGAATTGCTTGAACCCAGGAGGCAGAGTTTGCAGTGAGCCAAGATAGCATCACTGCACTCCAGCCTGGGCACCAGAGAGAGAATCCATCTCAAGAAAAAAAAAAAAAAAAAACACGCAAAGAAATAATAATGAAAATAGAATACTTATATAATTATTATTCTTTAATGATAGTTGTAATATGAATGTCAAGGGGTGCCACAAGAATGTATAAACAAGAGATCTACTCTAAACCAAAAAGTAAGATAAGGCCAGAGATCTGAGTAGAAGTCCAGGTTTAGGTGTGTGTTGGGATTACAGGTGTTCTCACTCAGGAAAAGGGCACAGCTCATTCAAAAGTTATTTAGTTAGCGGAGCGGCGGTTCGCGCCTGTAATCCCAGCACTTTGGGAGGCGGAGGCGGGCGGATCACGAGGTCAGGAGATCGAGACCACCGTGAAACCCCGTCTCTACTAAAAATACAAAAAATTAGCCGTGTGCGGTGGCGGGCGCCTGTAGTTCCAGCTACTCGGGAGGCTGAGGCAGGAGAATGGCGTGAATCCGGGAGGCGGAGCTTGCAGTGAGCCGAGATGTTGCCGCCGCACTCCAGCCTGGGCCACAGAGCGAGACTCAGTCTCAACAAAAAAAAGTTATTTAGTCACTTAACACTTGAGTCATCACCAAATCTCTGGGTCTCAGGTACCTCAAATACTAATTCTGTTCCCGAGGACTATTTTACACCAACCAAGAGCCAAATTGCAAGCCCTTATAACTCAATAATAAAAAGATAAATAACTCAATTAAAAATAGGCAAATCATCAGAATATTCGTTTCTCCAAAGATCTACAAATCACCAATAAACACATGAAAGCATTATCATTATCGCTAGGGAAATGCAAATCAAAACCACACTGAGATACCACTTTACACCCACTAGAGTGGTTATATTTTTTTTTAATGCAATATAACAAGTATTGGTGAGGATGTGGAGAAATTAGAAGCCACATACACTGCTGGTGGCAGTGTGAAATGTAAAATGAATGCAGCCACCATGGAAAACAGTTTGGCAGTTTCCTCCCAGATTAACCGTAGGGTTACTATACAATCCAGCAATTCCATTCCTAGGTATATACCTAAGAGAATTAAAAACATGTGCTCATACAAAAATTTGCACATGAATGTTTACAGCAGGATTATTCATAAGTTAAAACATGGAAACCATCCAAATGTCTATTAAATGATGGATAAATAAAATGTGATATATCCATACAATTGAATATAACTTGACAATGAAAAAGAATGAAATAGTAGTACATTCTACAACATGGTTGAACAGTGAAAAGGTATGCTAAGGAAGCCAGTTACAAAAGATACGTATTATATGATTCCACTCATATAAAATATCCTGAATAGGTTAATCTATTGAGAAAGAAAGATTTGTGATTGCCTAAGACTGGGAGGGTTGTGAGGAGTGGAGAGGAGGAGGAATGCAAAATGATTATTAATGAGTGTTTCTTTTCTTAATGTGACGAGACTGTTCTAAAATTGTGATGGTTGCACAATTCTGTGAATAAAAGCCATTTGAATTGTACACTTTAAATAAGGGAATTGCATACTAGGTGAGTTATAGCTCAATAAAGCTGTTTAAAAAAAAAAAAACAGGAGTTGGGGATATGGGGTTGAGGCAGGAGGATCACTTGAGATTGGGAGGCAGGCGGAGATTGCAATGAGCCAGGGCACTCTAGCCTGGGCGATACAGCGAGACTGTCTCAAAAAATAAATAAATAAATAAAAAATAAAATAAAATGGCCCTTTACCAGTATCAAAGTGCCTCATCAGCCAGGTACCACCTTTTCAATGGATGAGGAGACTGAAGTGTAGAGGAATTAAGTATCCGACTTGGGGGTTGGGGGCAGTGGCTCACGCCTGTAAATCCCAACACTTTGCGAGGCCGAGGTGGGAGGATGGCTTGAGTCCAGGAGTTCGAGACCAACCTGGCCAATATGGTGAAACTCCGTCTCTATAAAAAATACAAGAAATTAGCCTGGTGTGGTGGCGGGTGCCTGTTATTCCAGCTGCTCCAGAGGTTGAGGCAGTCTCCTGAACCCGGGAGGCGGATGTTGCGGTGAGCCGAGATCGTGCCGTTGCACTCCAGTCTGAGCGACAAAGCGAGACTCCGTCTCAAAAAAAAAAAGTATCCAACTTGGGCTTTGGCTCTTCTCACTATAATCCAACATATTCTCTTACATAATGGCAGAATTAATGTTCCCTCCTTGTGACACCCCTGTAGTTGTACATGCCTCTAGCACTTACAGTTTGTAATTGTGTTTAACGGTTCTAGCATATTATTTCTTAACTTCAGAATAGATATTGTGTCTGATTCCTGTGTATCAAGATCTTACCTTTTTTAATTTTTATTTATTTTTTTTAACTGGAGTCTCGCTCTGTCGCCCAGGCTGCAGTGCAGTGGCGCGATTTCGGCTCACTGCAACCTCCGCCTCCCGGGTTCAAGCGATTCTCCTGCCTCAGCCTCCCGAGTGGCTGGGACTACAGGCATGTGCCGCCACTCCTGGCTAATTTTTTTTGTATCTTTAGTAGAGACGGGGTTTCACCATATTGGCCAGGCTGGTCTGGCACTCCTGACCTTGTGATCCGCCCACCTAGGCCTCTCAAAGTGCTGGGATTACAGGCGTGAGCCACCACGCCCGGCCGATCTGACCTTTTTTAAACGAAGACGGATGCAGGAAGGAAATATCTACAAGTAAGACAAAATGAAGAACCCAGTGTACGAACATTCACTTCTCTAACAAAGAAAAGACACAAAAGGAGAAACTAATAAGGCGGAGAAAGGTATTGAGATTGGGGAAAACAGCATCTCCTCCCTCCCTGCAATGTCGACAGGTTCCCTGGAAAGTTCTAGAAGGGATTCAGAAGTGACTGGTGAGATCACCGTCGCCCCGTGGCGCCCACCACAGCGGCCAACTGACACGCCAGCTTTCCCGCCTCATAGAGGCCCGGGAACGGGGGTGGGGCCCTGCGAGGGGCGGGGTCACGTCACTTCCTGTGCGGGACGCGCTACTGCTGGAGAGGAAAGGCAGAGCGAGGAGGGGCGAGGCCAAGAAAGCGCGCGTTTCTGGGAGGGGAGGAGCCTGGCTAAGGAGGGCCGCGTCACATCCGGTAGAGTTAGAGCCCGTGCGGAGGCGGTGCGGAGCGGTTCGGCTCTGAGCTGCTGGGCGACCGGCGCGTCGTGCGGGGCTGCGGCGGAGCCTCCTTAAAGAAGGTACAAGAGGTTGGCAGCTTCGATTGAAGCACATCGACCGGCGACAGCAGCCAGGAGTCATGAGCGACAGCGGCGAGCAGAACTACGGCGAGCGGGTACGTAGAGCTGCTGTAGGGGGCGGCTGTGTGGTCCTAGCTCCTTGCATCTTTTTCTAGGCCCATCAGCCTCGGGCCAGGAGGCAGAGGCGTTTTAGGCTCCGAAGTCTGAAGCCGGGAGGGCAGGCAAGGGAGACAGCTTTTAACCAAAAAAAGCCCTTGTGGATAGTGCCTTAGTGCCTTTGGTCGTGAAGGAGGGAGGCCACCGGCGGGTTTATGTGGCTTCTGCCCGAGACGGCCGTTTTTCCCGTTATAAGCGGGGGAAGATGAAAATGGCCGCTGCGTCCCCGCGGTGTTGGGGGAGGGGAACGATATCTTATTTCGGCGTTGCTCTCCTGCGAAGGTCCGCCGCAGCCATCTTGGGCTGGCGGGCTGGGCGCGCTGCCAGAGGCACAAAATGGCGGAGGAGCCGCGCGGCAACGCGGGCTCGACCCGCCGCGGGCCGCGCTTCGTAAGGTCGCGTGGTGGGGTGGAATGAGACAGACGACGTTCTTTGAGGTCTTTGGGCCGGTGTTTAGGTTAACGAAGGACCGTCTTTGCCTCCACGGAAAGGACGGAGTCTGGGATGTCCTTGGGGCCTCTTAAGATGAAAACTAATCTGAGGCCGACTAAGTTTGGGCCCGTTAGGTGGAGGGGATTGCGTGAGGGCTTTGTGTTTGGCCTAAATGAAGCGCTTTTCTCTGATAAAGGACTTCCCAGGCAAAAGTCTGTATCAGTATTCTGTTAGGACAGACCACAAAATCGCTAAGATTATTTTGTGGACATCGCTTTTCCACGGGATTGTGAAGGAGAAATTGGCGGGCAACAATTTATGGCGCCGTTATTTCCTTTGTTTTGAGGCGTTCTAATACTTAGAACCACAGCGTGTGTTGGGTACACTTTTCCTTCCCTTAAGTTTCCACCTTTTAAAGGTGTTTAGTGAGGGTTGATTGAATTGCAGGAACAAGACAGTTCTAGGATTTAAGCAGCATAGGTAGCTGGTCTGTGAGGCTCTGGGTATTAGATTCGGAAAGCATTGAATGGTGCGAAGATACGAGGCTTGCTAGAATTAAGAGAAATGTGTTAGAAGGGTAATAGAAAAGCACCATAGAAATTGATTTTTGAGGTTGTTACGGGAATAATTTGTGCTTAAAAAAAAATTGTTACCTAAGTTTCCCCTTGTTGGTAGAGCTACCTTAAGATCTGAATATGATTTGTCAGGTAAATAAGATTATTAAATGTCTTAGCAAACTTTTGATTAAGATTTTAGATGATTCGTTAGAGTATTTTAGGAAGAAGCTTTCAGTGATGAAGCGTGAGTTTCCTGTGTAATTTTGGAGCCCAAACTGCTTAATTTGGTTTGAACTAATCAAGCCTTGCGTTTACATATTCGGAAGAGCATAGAGTTTTTAGTTTTTGATGTTTTTCCCTGAGCTGGCTGACTGCAACGTCACGAGTGTTACAGATTTTTTTTTTTTTTTTTAAGTTCTTGCTTTCTTGGGTAACAAAGTTGGGATTGAGCTCAAAAGTTGTTAAAAAGTCGTGACTTCTGTTCTTTGGCAGTTGAATCTGTTAAAACTAGTCATAAAGTCTTTTTGTTATTAAACAGAACAATTACTGAGTACCTTTGTACTCCTTCGGAAATACAAAATGACTGGCTTCTGACTAAAGGAGCTCTCGGTTGAATACACGTGAAGAAAGCTTGAGAATGGAAAATTGCCCAAAGAGTTCATTAGTATATTTTACGTGAGAAAGGAAACAATTGAAACTGGGTTCCAGTTTGAGACTCGGGTCAAGAAAATTTGAAATTTTCTGATTGGTTATCTTTTTACTAGTAAAAGTACATTGTGTTTTTCACAGTCTTTGAATTGTGAGGGAGGTTAACTTAATGTGATAAAAATTGAAATTATTTTATTACATGAGTCTTCGCTTTCTGGCCGAGATATCTCAACTTAAAAGTTGTGAAGTACTTCCATATTGTTGTGTTTGGTGTTTGTGTGTTTGTGTTCCAATTGGAACCTTTAAGGGTTGGAATACACCTGAATCAAACACGTGTCTAGGCTTCCAAAGCAAGCTTGGGAAAACCATAAAGCTCAGTGGAACAGTTTAATCTTAGACTTGCCTGTATGATGCTTCTCTGGAGCCAGAAAAATGAGTGTCATTCAACTCCAGGCTTCTGGACTGGGTCTTAATGTAAATCACTAATCTCTTCAAATCAGTGAAATTCTCCCTTATTTATCTGTCTCTAATCCAAGACAGTACCACCCCTCTGTGCCCCACCTTTTTCAGTGACTAGGAGTTTGTTGTGTCCCTCCCCTATAAGGTTGGGTGTGTGTGATAAATTATTCTCAGTTTGATCACTCAGTAGAATACATTTGGGTGGATATAATAACATTTAAAGAACTGGTGTGTCCCTCATCCCTTGTTGGTCTGTGGGATTTATTCCCCCATCTCAAAGGTAATAGATTTACACTAAAATCTGTCTATAGGGGTCTAATTAGCAGACTTAACCTGATCTGGCCAAACCACTTTCAAAAGTAAGATCTCATTTTCATCTCCAGATTCAAGCCTCTTCCCCCCAAATTGCTTGCATTTTGTAAAGGGGTTGACTAGCACCCTTTCTTTGCAAAAAGAGGCACTCCTAGCCGTTAAGTCACAATTACAAGAACTTGAATAAAAAGTTGATAGAAAGTTTAGAAGTGCAGGGTAATCTAGAGCCCAATAGTGGTCACAGCGTGTAGGGTGTGTGAGATTTGTATGTTGGTCTGGCACTGGGTGTAATGTTCTGACCCCCTCAACTTTGTAACGAGTTTCTATAAGTGAGTGTTTACTAAAGGAATCCAAAAACTAAGGAGATACTGATGTATGCACTAGATGTTAAAGAAAATGTTTTGACCCAGCAGATACTCTGATAGAATACTGGTTGTTAATTTTTGTAGAACCGATGTGTTTGCAACATAGGCACATTATCTTTATCATTAGAGATGAATAGCAGCATCTGGACACCAACCCATCAAACTGCCTTTCAAATTCTGCAGTTTTTCTCTTCTTCTGCTTAATCTTGGGATGTCTTTTTGTATTCCTTGGTTTTAGCTCCTGAACTCTAAATTCTAATTTTCAAAACATCTCTGAATCTGCTTCTTTCTAAAGAATTGTAGCCATCTCACCAAATTCCTTTAAAGGATTGAATTGTCAAATAGGAAATTGTATTGTTGTGAGTCTGGTTAGGTTTATCAGTCTCTTGAAACCAGGTTGAAATATTTTTTTTTCTTGGTTTTAAACAAGAATGCTTTAATATTGTGGATATTGTCTGGAACTAGAACGTGACATTTTCAAGCTGACATTACAAGTGATTTTATAAGGTAAGTACCATTGGTTTTGCCAAAAGGTTGAAGAGGTATTTAGGTGGTGGGGGAAGTGTTAATGGGATTTGCCTTGCACAGCCTTTTTTCCTTCTTTCTCTACAATAAAACTCAAATCTAGGTGGTAAATATTAATGCTTTCATAGTTATTTTGCCCAGGACTAGGACAGAGCTACAGTTGTGTATATTTATTGAGCCTTAGCGTTATGTTTTATGTTGATTAGTGTTTTTACATATGCGACTGTTAACAAGGCATGGTGACTGATGTTTAGGAATTTTAAGTATTTTGACCCATGTTAGTATTTGGGGGTGTGGGATATGTAGAATTAGATATTGAAATCACTTAGTATTGTTTTTAAACTGCAAGCCAAAGCAAGTTGTTCACCATAGCAAATTACAGTCTTGAAATTCCCCCAAAATCTCTGCTTTGAATTGGGTTTTGGAGGTTACACTGAGATTGATGTTATCAACGTAGATTGTTATGTGACAGTTTGGATGAGGGGCCCCTTTTTCTCTTTAATTTTTGTGGTTAGAAATTAGGTTAAAAGGTAGTCTTCTGAAAAGTCAAAAGATACTTAATACTTTTGTTGGGGAGTACTGAATGTTTTATGAATGTAAATTTAAGAGTCTGTGCTATATTTGCAAGAGAGTTTTTGTAAGCACAGGCCTACAACTAATTTTAGGTGATGGTTTTTTCCAGACACTATTCTCCAGTTTTTGAGGATTTTATCTATCCATTCACCCTTCTGGTAGACATTTTGTCTTTACTATGTTGATATGAGCATTGACCTTTCTATAACAGGATTAATTAGTTTTTCTTTGCCCCATCCCTCCCAATTTTTAAAATATTGCCTTGTCGCCTAATGAGTTTGTGCATGTTTAATGTTAAATGGATTCCAGTTGTATCCCCTAGAAACATTTTAACAAAAATGTGTTGATAGGACAAGTTTCTGTTTATTTCTAACTAGGATCTCTTAACTAAATGTACATAACATTAGCCCAATAGTTGGTCTTCTGGTTTTATAAAGTAGCCACTCGAACTTAGCTGAGTTGAAATAAATCTAATATTTATATTAATTTAGTAATGGTTTTGTTCTTAGACTATAAGAGAAGGAATCAGGTTAGGAAGGGGCAATGAAATAACAGCGGGAAAGTATCCATATTGGAAACAGTTGTGATAGCTACAGCTATGGCCTCTATTCCTGTATCTTCTGCATCTAAGTGCCCTATTTGTATCGAACTTTTAGGAGGCCCTAAGGAAATCTGCTTGGGCATTCTGATTCCACGATTACATTTGTGCTGCCAGAAAACATTTCCCATTGCATTTTAGTGATGGATATTTAAAGAAAACCAATTACTGTAACTCCCTTAAATAAAAATGTATTTTAAAATTTTTGGATTAAACAATAATTGACTTTAAAACTAGACTGGAAGTTATCCTTTTGTTAGGAAAGACATCCCAGCACTTGCCAGGTTAACAATGGTTGTCTTTATGCCCAGATAGGTATAAAGACTTGCAATTTTTTTAACAAAGCCTTACATTTTTTTCAGGAGGAAAAACTAGGAGAGGAAATAATTGACAAATGAAAGATCATCAAGGTGAAATGTAGGATAACAAGAAGAACTAGAATGTTTTATGGAGGCAGTATTTATTTTATTTTGTTTAGCGTGTTCAGACATTTAGAGATCAGCTAAATTCAATCTTTTTAATTATTTGAGGTGAGCTATTATTTTAATAGTGCCACCTTTTAAAGTAGTATTTCTCCTTTGGACACCCAGAAGACTTAATATTTTCTTCATTGAGGGGGAAAATGTACAACAAAACTCTTTGAAAATACCAGTGTTGGATTCAAGTTTGTTTTGCTTTCCTTCATAGCTACTGGCATATTGTAGGTGGTTGACTTGATTTTGTCTTTTTGTGATTCATACTATAAAATATCACTAGAGCAGCTTTTCCAGGGGGTGGGTTACACTTCAGTTCCAAATTGTCAGGTTCCTTGACACCGTCTTTCTACAGAACTCAAATACAGAACAAAAGTGTGTGACGCTAAATACGTTTCTTTATCCTACCTAGACAAGTCACAATACTGTAAACCTCTTCAACCCTGAGCCTTTGTCATCGTACAAATGAATTGTCCGTGCTTTCCTTTCTTGCACTTATGTATTAATGTGTCACTTTTTGACTAGAGGTGTGCTTTTGACACTTAACCTATTTTCTATTGAATATAATAAGAAGTGTGAAATGTAATAGTTCTTAAAATGTTAAATGAACAGTAAATGTTCAGTGGCGCACTTCACATTCAACTTAAGCATGATAAATCTATTTGGAGTAGAGAAATGAGATTGATTACCATATATTCTAGAACCAGCAGAAAACTATGTAGTTTCAGTTTTTTGAGCTGCATATTCTAGTTTCTTTTTTAATCCAAATCAACAAAGGGATTTTTTTTTCTAGTTTCAGTTTTGGCACTGGATTTTATCCTGGAGTTTTAAAATATTCTTCATCCTGTTCTTTTTCTATTAAGGTTAATGTTGAAGAAGGAAAATGCGGAAGTCGTCATTTGACAAGTTTTATAAATGAGTATTTGAAGCTCAGGAATAAGTGAAGCTGAAATTTGAAAAAATAAAAGAAAGAATGCATGCTAATTATCAGACCAGAAGTCCCACTTGTAGAATATTGAGCAATTTGTGTGAAGTGGGGAAGATGAAAGAAGTCAGAATTTGAAACGGAAGAATGAAGAAAAGAAATAAAAATGAAGTTAAGATAAGAAGTAATCTGGAATCAGAAAGCACTACGCTAAGTAATTACTAGTCTGTTTATGTGTCCCTGTATATTTTGCTAAACATGCATGCATTATTTGTTTAATAGAAGAAAATATATACAGGGTAAAGAAGTGCCTTCCAGGGGAAACGTTTAAATTAGGTAATTCTGATTTTAACTGCTTAGTCAAATGATTGAAATGCAATTTTTTAAAAACAATATTTAGCAGTCAAGCACCAGGCAGCAATGAGCTCTCCAGCATGGGTAACAGTGGGCTTCATGTTGTCCTCTCTAGATAAACTTTTTACCTATCTAATGTTGCTGGTCCTGGGGCATGAGTGAATACCTCCAGGGTTGGAACTAGTGGTCTTTGCCACCTCCCTGGACTCTTAGATTGCACTGATCCCTTTCCTTCAGTACTGAGCAATGTGTAGTAGAATATTTTCTGTTAAACGATTTTCAAAAGAATGTCACCAAGATGGTTATGGAACCAAACCCCCAAAATCCAAACAAAGCATTGAATAAAATAGTTCCCTTTGGCATTAGTGTGTTAGTTTTTTCCATATGGCAGTAGTGGAAATCTTTGAGCATTTGGGCCCTAAATTTAAGATGCATATTTGCTAAATACACAGGGATGGTTTTTCAAATTCTGTTTCTGTTTAATGCCTATTCCAGCTGATTGACTAGGGTTACTGATAAAATACAGTAGCTTCCCCTTAGAAGAGGTGGGTCACACGAGTGAACAGGATAGCTAATACAAATTGCAGTAGTGGCAGATGCTTTCATTCCTGTTTCTCCTTTTCTGCTATCAACATTTACTTACTGTGATATTAGAGGTACAGGTTACAAAGTAGCTTTATTCTGGTTACCCATCCCTACCACTTACTGAGAAATTCAACCAAAAAGCTGTCTCTTCCTTTTCTGTGTGTTTTATTTTAGCTGAGTAGAAGGGTCAAGTGATTGTTGTAATGTTGTTACTCTCAGTTGGATGAGACAAGTACACATATCAAAATAATATCCAATAGTAGCCAGCCAACAGTTTTCTACCCAATTGAGAACGCCAAGGGTATCATCTCATACAGTTCTTCCTGAAATAAACTTTCTCTGAGAGTTGTCAGGTCTTCATGCTCTTGGAGAAAGTGACTTAAATGGCATTTCTTAGAGAATCCATTTTCTGATGCTTTCAGGCCTGTTTATTTCTGTATCTTGCAAGCAGAAGAAAATTTTCTCATAAGAAGTTTTGCATTCCTTTGTCAAATTTCTTGCCATAGATAAACTAATGATAACATAAATGTTACTTTTATGTTCCAAATTACTCAAAGAGCAGGCAGGAGGCTGAGGTAAAAGTGATGTGAACGAATATTACATTTTAATTCCAAGCCCATGGATTCTTTTATGAAGAAACCTGACAGGTCCTTGGGGTGCAAAAGAGGAAAATACCTCTTAACCCCCAGCCCACTAAAGGAAAGAAAGCAATTTGGAATCCGGTTATGACCCAAGCTGGATAGACTTAAGGTGAAAACATTGCTAGTGGACCATTGTGTCCATTTGTTTTTGTTTTCCCGCTTGACCAAAGCATCTGTGGGTCCTAGTGTGTCTCCTCCTCGGATCATAGGGAAGGTGAAGAGGAGGCCAGCTTCTGTTCCTAAGAACAGGCAGTGTGTGAAAGACCCCTTAATCAGAGGTCTGATTAATGCTAGGGGAAGTCAAAGCAAGGAAGTTGGGATGACAGCGTTTCAGGAAGGTAACCTTTGCCAAGAGAAAAAAATCAGTAGGAAGCATGTAACTTCTGAAGTTGACTAAGTCAAGTAAGTCAGACTTAACTAGTATGATAAACACAGTGTTTTAAGAGATGCAGATGCCCAATTCCAGGCCACCTAAAAACAGACTCCAGTTCAGAGTTCTTGTATTTGAAAATGCTGTAGACGTTTAGTGCATACCTGTGTTTATTGAGCCACTGTTTTAAATCTAATAAACTGTATTCAGTTTTTAAAATAATACAGGGATTGGATGGTGATTCCTTCTTTCAAATACGTTTTTGTAAGGTGGTTGCTGTTCTTAGAATAGGGAGATGTAGATTATTTTGTTGGAAGGCTAAGTGTGCTGTATTTTTACTTGATGTATTCCCTGCAGGTTTTGTGTTAGGATGTGGCTGAGATCCAGTCTGTGAGAGCTTGACTGATTCCCTGAGCATTTTTCAGGGAAATTTTGGCTTTATTCATGCTAATTTTCGGTTCATGGTCCCTTTTTGTGAGGCAGTGGTGTTCAGTTAGTTCTGTCTCTTGGTGTGGTTTTAATGTGTTGACCGTGTCAGCCCTAACAGTGGAATTTGAAGTAGCCTTAGATTTAGGGGCTTCCCCAACTGGTTTTACAGATGTGCCTGTCTGCATTAATATTTAAAGTTAACATTATGCTTTCGATTTGGGTGCTAATTTTAGGTCTTATTTTTTGTAGACAAGCTTTATTTATTCCCTTGCATATGTATTTCCCAGCCAGTTAAATGGCCAAAATAACTTCAGAAGGCTTTAACTTTTTAAAGAAAATATCCCTGATAAAGGTGGAGACGTTTAGGTGCTGTCCCAAACACGTGTCAGTATAGATAAGGAAGCCTTTGTATTCTGGTATTTCTGTTATTCCTGGCCTAAGAAATGGTTGCTTACAAAATGTATCTGCGTAGTCCGTTAGTTTTGGAGGCTGAGTGAAAACTGTGGTTTCCCAAATATTATATCTGTGATCTGCTGGAATTTAAGGAGAAAACTTCATTAAGTCTTATTTTCTAGGTTAGGAGTAGTATCTCTTCCCTCAGTGGACAGGCTACTGAAGCATCTTAGCTTAGAATAAAGGCTTTTCTGTTAAATAAAGCCAGGAGCTTATTAAAGAGGATCTTGACTTGACCCATTCTTCCTTTATACTCAGATTCCTGGGCCGACTGATTTCTGTTAACTACAGTTACTTTATTGGTAGTCTTTTAACTGTTAATGTGAAACATCCATATTCTGCTTTCACTTCCATTGAGGTAATCTTTCTAGTGTTGGAGTAAATAGGCGTTTAGCAACTTTTGGGTTCCCCATTTCTATCTTCTCACCTGTATTAATTTTTGCCTGTGGTAAAAGTAGCAAAAACTACACCCACATTTTTGAGTCTTCAGAATACTTGATAGGGAACTCCAAGGGATTGTTATTTATTGGAATCCCCAGAGCATCACTACATCCTTTAACCATTTCTTGATGTTAAAGGCAGCTGTCCTCACTAATAAAGAAGGGTATCATATTTTTCTTTTAATCTCTTTACAGTCACTCATGGAGGGAGGTAGAGGGGAAAGGCTGTCACATTTCATGTCACCTCACCAATGTTTTATAATGGCCTTGAAGTCATTTGAACGTTTCTAGAGTCATCTGGGCCTAGAGACCTGAACTCATTTTACTGGATGAGTTAGCCTTTCCTTCTCTGTTAAACCTGAAACCTTAATTTGTCTCTTCTGTGTTACATTATACATTTTTTCCCTGAGCATCAAAGGATCATCCAAATTTTCTCCATTATGCTGTAAACTACAAAACTATCTTCTAAAGTGTTTTGAGGTGTAATTTAAAATAATCCTCTATCTTCTATCCTTTCAAGAATGTCCAGAATACTCTGAAGATGTATCACACAAGGAAATCTCCTGTGATTAAATTTTATCTGGAAGCTTCACCTTTAATTCATGCCATATAGTGACTTATCATAATACTGCTTCCTTTTGAGTCTTGCTATTTCTGCTCTCTTGAGTAGAAAGGCTCACCAGGCTTTACTTTGTCTAAGATAACCTAAAATAAAGGTTGCCTTATTTGATAATTTTACCTATCAGACTGATGAGGAGTAAGTAGGTTCTGTCCCTTCCTCGTCTACTGTTTTGGTGCCTTGGCAGAACTTTTCCTTCATTTCATTACTTAATATACCTTTTGTTGATTAATTCTGACTATGTGTCTTTAACTCCTTGATGACCTAGTTGTCCTGGTTAGCCATTCCTTTGCTATTTTTCATTACGGATTCCCCCCACCCCTTAACATGCCAGCCAATCCCAATTTTGATTGGGAAAGCTTTGGCTTTTGTATGTAGTTTCTATCCTCTTTCGCTTCCTGGGCCCTAGATTAGGAGCTCCTGATTTAGCTGCCCTGGTTTTAATGTGTGCTTAAGTTAACTAGGTAAGTTAGGTTAATTCCTGGTTTCCCATAAGTTTGCCCTGGCTCATCTCCATTTAGCTGGAGAAACTGTGAAGGATCTCTGATATCTTCTCTACTCTTATGTGTGTAGTTCGCTGTTCTGTTGTAGCTCCGTCTGGTTGCTTTCAGTTTTTTAGGGGGCCTCCCACCATGGTTAGATGCAATAGGGTTTTACAGGGTTTAGTGTCTTTCACGCTAGCCTTTGCTTTCCACTAGGTTTCTACCTTTCTCTAGGATTTGAAACTGAGATCATCATCTTTATCTCTTTTATCACTGAATTATAAATAATAACTTGAAAGGTCAAGGTCTATTTTTTAAGTAAATTATATAAATTTTATAGGGTTTGTTTTATTGATTGCAACTTGATTGAAATAGGTATAAAGTATAGGTGTCATAGTTAATAAGGTTCCGTCTCACCCTAGTCTTTATGGAGTAACATTCTGAAACACAGTCCTTGGACAGTTCCCTTAACTGCTTGACTTTGGCACCCCTTTCTGAAGGAAGTGGGGTCAAATACTTCTTATCCCTGCTCCAAAAAGGTGGAAGAAAGGACAAGTTAATTGACTTATGTCATTTGGAGCAATGAAACTATTAACACCAGGTATACTCAGTTCCTGCCCTTACCTATATTTTCTTATCTTGGAAGGGGATTGCTGTCCCTCGCCATTTATCTCACAGCAGCTTATTTGTTTTTAAAGTTGCCCAGAAAGTGTGCAAATTAAACTTTTAACATCTACGTGTAGGAATCCCGTTCTGCTTCCAGAAGTGGAAGTGCTCACGGATCGGGGAAATCTGCAAGGCATACCCCTGCAAGGTCTCGCTCCAAGGAAGATTCCAGGCGTTCCAGATCAAAGTCCAGGTCCAGATCTGAATCTAGGTAAGAAAGACTGTCTTGAGATTTCCTCGTTACTCTTAGCTCTGAAATTGGTGCGTGTTTTGTAAACCAGGAAGTTAGAGAGGGTTAGATTATTTGTTGGCCTATTAAATATTGGCACTAGAAGTGAACTTAAGTTCTGGGAGGCAAGACTAAAAGCTGTTAAGAGCCTGGGCTTTTGGAGTTAGGGTTCTCTATTTTTGTTGGTTTGGGCAGATTATATAACCTTTCAGCATTAGCTTCTTTATAAAAGGTAAATTAGAAATACAGTATCAGTTCTTCAGGGTGGTTGTGAGGATTTACTGAATGTAAGTAAATTGCTTATTAGTATGGCAAATAGACTGCAGAGCACTGGCTTTCAGTAATTGCAATTCTTGATAAATAAGTATATACGTGGTGCGCTTTTTTTTTTTTTTTTTAATGTTGGTGAAGAGTAGGCTCTATATATATACATCCTGGTTTGCCTGGGACAATACCAGTTTATGCCTGTGGTCAGGCATAATTAACAGCACCCCTTTTCTTAAATGTGTCCTGGTTTCGATGACAACTTAGAGTCACTCTAGTTAGTCAAGAGCCACTCGATTTTTTTGTTTTTGTTTTTAACTGCTGGGGAATACTTGTGATTTTGTTACTGTATTAATGATGGGCATAATGGGAGACAGAAAAGTAGAGAAATGGTTTTCTGAGGGGGAAAGATGGGCACAAGCCAACTTAGTAAAATACTGCATGCCTTGATTTGCAAAAGATAAGTAATGTGTCTTTAATTGGAAGAAGAGCTTGTGGTTTTTAGAACGCTTCCTAGCAAAGTTGAAATGACTTAATAATTAGAGAAGAAAAGTATTGATCCTATTAAGTTGGTGACCATGTTAGCATATTCCTGGATTGTTCCCTCTTTTGGAGTTTAACTTTAGAATAGAGTAATAAACTTAAAGAAGATAGTATCTGTTGTCAATCATAACCTTAGGGAGGTGTCTTTGTCTTGCAGGTCTAGATCCAGAAGAAGCTCCCGAAGGCATTATACCCGGTCACGGTCTCGCTCCCGCTCCCATAGAAGATCACGTAGCAGGTCTTACAGTCGAGATTATCGTAGACGGCACAGCCACAGCCATTCTCCCATGTCTACTCGCAGGCGTCATGTTGGGAATCGGGTAAGGCGAAAAACTGGTTTTGAAGCAGTGAATTGCCTAAATTTACTTTTTCTTAAAGTTAGAGCTGATTTTGACAATAGAGTTTTAGCAGTGGGTGCCTGAGTGAACTTTTTAGTGTTTTGAGACTGTCTTTTAAGTTAATCTTCATGATAGGGTCTGCGTTTGGACTACCTGTCATTTAAGCATAATACTGACACAATGATGTAACTCCTTAGCCCATCAAAAGAAATTTCCCACTGTGCATTACTATACTGTACTATAGTATTAGTACATTAGTTCAAAATATAGTTGTATGCTAACGTTACTCTTTTTTTCCAGGCTGCATAAACCCAATTAGATGCTCTCCTAACTTTCTCATTTAATTTGAAGCTAATTTCTTTTTGGTGTTGTTAAGGTGTTTTTTACATTTCATGAAAGACTTCAAATGAGATATTTATTGTGATTTCATTGTATAATCCAAGTGGTTTAGGAGGAGGATGCGGGGGGACTTAATGTTTTTACAGTAGAGTAGAATTTTTCCCTAGTAAATTGTTAGTTTATGAAATAAATGGAATCTTTAGGTAAATTCATCACAGCATCTGGAATGTTAGCAACATATGGTTCACTCTTTATTCTTTCCTCTGTCGTCTTTTTTTTGAGACAGGACCTCACTCTGTCACCCAGTCTGGAGTGCAGTGGTGCAATTTCAGCTTACTGTATCCTACCTTCCAGGCTTAAGTGATCCGCTCACCTCAGCCTCCTGAGTAGCTAGGACTGCAGGCATGCACCATCACACCCAGTTACTTCTTGTATTTTTATAGACGTGGGGTCTCTGTGTTGCCCAGGCTAGTCTCAAAACTCTCCTGAGCATCAAGCAGTTCACCAGCCTTGGCCTCCCAAAGTGTTTGGATTACAAGCATGAGCCACTGCACCTGGCCAACTCTTGTTTCTTATGATTGCAAGCTGTTTATGACCTGTAAAATGGTTTGGTACACATCCCCTTGGGCTTCATTTATGTACATACACATGTGCATTGTGTTTCTTGAAAAATCAAACCATACATGCTCATCAGTTCAGAGCATTTTATTGAATGGAAGGTGTGTCAACATTAAAATTTTTTCTAGCTGATGGACTCTGTGGTTCCAGTTATCCTTGTGTGTCATGTTATGAATATGTGGATTTTTCTCAGTAAATTCATAGAAGGAAAGATGCAGGTTGCTTGTCACCAGCACGAGTGATTGTTTCCCCATTTAATTCTAAGGTTGAAATTTTTTCTTTTGCATTTTTCCTACCCATTCCCAAAAATGCTTATAGTACTTGCTGTAATTTTGTAATTTCCAAGTGGTATTTGGTCTAATTATTATGTAATTTTCTTGTTAGTGACATTTTGGCTAGTATATAGCTCCCTTTTTTAAAAACTTTGATTTTATGACAACTTTCCAAAGTTTAAAATCTTTTTTTTCCCCTAGGCAAATCCTGATCCTAACTGTTGTCTTGGAGTATTTGGGCTGAGCTTGTACACCACAGAAAGAGATCTAAGAGAAGTGTTCTCTAAATATGGTCCCATTGCCGATGTGTCTATTGTATATGACCAGCAGTCTAGGCGTTCAAGAGGATTTGCCTTTGTATATTTTGAAAATGTAGATGATGCCAAGGAAGTAAGTAAAAGTCGACCTGTTCCTTTGTAAACCACCAGTTCTATTGTTAACACCAAGTACCAGTGACCAGTTGCTAGGATAGCAACAAGGACAAGTCAATAATACTTCGAACTTTTTCTCCAGCCTCTTGTGGGGACTGAGATACCTGCACAATAACAGAAAATTTTGTATAACTTGGGGAAGTTGGTCCTACCACCTACTTTATTAGTTGCCACCTACTGGGGTCAACTATACCCCAATTCCACCAGGATATGTAGTCAGTGTTTACATTGAGTTTACATTCTAGAGTCGAAAATAACCAAAAGCAAAGTTATGTTCCTTTTTTGGCAAGTGAATGACGTCATATTTGGATTTTGACTTGAGGCAGAATATAGGAGTCAAGATATGTGAGGCTAGATCCCATTTAAGAAATTCAGACTTAAGGTACAGAAAGGATGGTAGCTAAAGTCATCTCCAAGTATTGAGAAGAGGAAAAACTGAGAAACACTTAATGACAAGCTCTCTGATAGTCAATGTTGAGATTAGGAATTGAGCTCCAGGTAAAATCACTTTAAGTAGGTCTTTATAGAAATTAAAAATTTTTTAAACGATAAATTTTTAAAGGGGTAACCTACTAATGGAACAATTAAAAGCTGAATGCAGCTAGTTACAATGAGTGACTTTGTGGAATTGTAAGATTTGAAGAGACCTCTTAAGATACACAGCTTCATTTTAGGAAAAATTGAGATGCCAAAGGTGTAAGTAGGATTCGCTTGAGTTCACCCATTTCCTAATTAAATTTTTGCAATAGGATCATAGCTCTCAGAAAATAGCATAAATTTTATCTTAATCTCTAGTGCCAGAAACTGTCTGGGGCATAAACACCAGCTTGAACATCTGAACTGGAAGATAGCATAGTATTGGAATTACAAATTTTAATTCTATTTAGGTAAAAGGATGTTTCCTCAAATTATGAATAAACTTTAATGTGTTCGAAATGGGTTATTTTTATTTTTTAAATGTATGCTGTTAATACAGACTCTGGGAAAAGGAACTATATGTACTTAAGACTTTGCTTCAGTCTTAGCTTTTGGCTTCCAGAGAAGGGCTAAGAAAACTTCAAGGGTTAAATAATATGTTCAGGTTTCATGAACCATAGGATCTCAGTCACAACTATTTAATTCTGCTGTTTTAACCCAACAGCAGCCAGTTAAATGAGTGGGGGCCTATTCCAATAAAAGATTATTTTGGGGCACTGGAATTTGGAATTCGTGTGTTTCTTCACTTGTCATGAAATACTATTTTTTCCCCCTAGTTATTTAAATTCTTAGCTTATGGGTTATACAGAGACAGCCAACTGGCCAGATTTGATCTTTGCCAATTGTGTGCTGCTTTGGAGCTGGAAATACTGTCAGGATTATAGTTAGGTAAACTAATTGCTTCACGTTTTTATGAGTAGCTTTTACAAATGAACATTTAGTGGAGGGAACAACACATTGTAAGTTGTAGACCTTACGTTTTGGCTAACATTAAGATAACTTAATGCACCTAACTGAGGTGTCCAGTGGGACCTTACTCAGCCACGGGATAATTAGTGCCTTTGTTCAGGATGTATATAACAATTTATTTATCTTTTGAAGGCTAAAGAACGTGCCAATGGAATGGAGCTTGATGGGCGTAGGATCAGAGTTGATTTCTCTATAACAAAAAGACCACATACACCAACACCAGGAATTTACATGGGGAGACCTACTTAGTAAGTTTATTTTCAAAGTAAATATAATTGGTAATTGCTCACTTATCAAAGAAACAAATTAGTGGAAAGTCTTCAGCACTTAGATTTGTGCCGTAAACTTGACTGTTGATTGATTTTAAGTTTAACTATTACAGGTAAAACTGTAAACCTTAGTCAAATGCACTTTTAAATTTTCTTTTTTGTTTTTGTTGTTGTTTGATTTTGTTTTTGTTTCGTTTTGAGACGGAGTCTCGCTCTGTTGCCCAGGCTGGAGTGCAGTGGCGCAATCTGGGTTCACTGCAACCTTCGCCTCCCGAATCCAAGTGGTTCTCCTGCCTCAGCCTCCCGAGTAGCTGGGACTACAGGCACCTGTCACCATGCCCTGCTAATTTTTTGTATTTTTAGTAGAGACGGGTTTTCACCATGTTAGCCAGGATGTTCTCAATCTCCTGACATTGTGATCTGCCCTCCTCGGCCTCCCAAAGTGCTGGGATTATAGGTGTGAGTCACTGCGCCCAGCCTAAATTTTCTTAAATAGAGCAAAGTGATACTGTTTTTCTTTCCTCTTAGAAATATGTGGGATATGCAAATTGACATCTGGCAGGATCTGTGTGCCTCCTTAACCAAAGATTTTTAAAAATAGGTTTATGTAGAAACAGGAAAGGGCAGTGTTTGTTCAATATAGGTGAGAATTTTAACAGGAATAATGTTTATTTTCCAGTTAATGTGTCAGAAAAGACCTACTAGCAGATATAAAAAGTCATGTCCAGAAAGATAAGGGAGGTCACCTGATATTTTTTTCTTTATAGTGGCAGCTCTCGCCGTCGGGATTATTATGACAGAGGATATGATCGGGGCTATGATGATCGGGACTACTATAGCAGATCATACAGGTAAGTTATGAGGTAGAAAGGTCAATGTCTGAATCTCAGTAGTGTACAGAGCAGCACTATGCTTAAGTTTTAGCCCTTGGTAAAAGCTTTGCTTTAGTACTTTTACTCTAGAAATGCAGAGCAGAAGCGTAAATCAGATTTTAAGGTTCTGTGTCTTTTAATCAATTTAATGTGTAATTGGATTTCTGTTCAAATATTCTAGAATAAAAATGGGATTTAGATGATAACTTATAATGTTAATAGTAAAATGTTGTATTCTTTTTAAACATTGAATGAGGCTCGGCACAGTGGCTGACACCTGTAATCCCAACACTTTGGGAGGCCAAGGCAGGCAGATAACCTGAGGTCCAGCCTGGCCAACATGGTGAACCCCGTCTCTACTAAAAATACAAAAATTAGCTGGGCATGGTGGTGCATGCCTGTAGTCCCAGCTACTCGGAAGGCTGAGGCAGATGAATTGCTAGAACCCGGGAGACAGGTTGCAGTGAATTGAGATTGCACCACTGCACTCCACTCTGGGCAACAGAGCGAGACTCTCTCAAAAAAAAAAAAAAAGATAAAGCAGAATTATAGGCTGAGACGGGGGGATTGCTTGAGCCCCGGAATTTGAGACTGACCTGGGCAGCATGGGGAGACCCCATCTGTAAAAAATTGAGGCAGGAATCCGGGGAGATTGAAGCTGCAGTGAGCCAGGTACACTCCCATCTGAGTCTCCTCCCACCAGAGCAAGACCCCACCTTAAAAATTTAAAAAAAAAAAAAAAAATTTGTCGCCTCTGTCTTAGTCTTGTAAAAGCAAATTTCATAAGCCATTTTGGAAAGCCACCACTTTTCAGGCAGTTTCTTGGAATCTCTAATCATGCATCGTACACTTAGAGGGCAGGTAAAACTGATGCCTTGAAAGAGTCCAGAGAATAATTTTACGACATTAATTTAGTATGACAAGGGTAAGTCGTTTTTTATTGTTGCCAAAAGTTTGGTATTTCGGGGTTTGGGTAGGGAAATGTCAATCATATTTTAAAAATAAAGATACCTTTGAGAATCCTTCCAAAGATCAGAATGAAGTAAAATCGTGACATTTTGGTCCTCTCTTGCTTTGTCAAAATGTGTAATTTGACAAGTCAAATAATACAGTTAGTATTGACCACTGTTGTCATTGATAGTGGTATTGAGGTATGGATGTCTTTTTTGTGGATTATTTGGTAATGTTTAAGAAGTTAACAGTTGTTAATCATTGAAAGTGAGTCTGTAAGTGTATTCTTGTTCAGCATTTTATCACCCATGAAAACCCTTTTTTATTTAAAGCATCACTTTGTTGAATGGTACTAAAGGTACTGATTTGTTGAGACTGAGATTAAGCTGTTTGTTTGGTTTTTTTTTTAAAGAGCATTTACTTAGGAATGTTCTGTGTTCTAATACTACTCGTTTCAGCCACCAGAGAGAACCCTATGCAGGTTTCTAAAAAGGGTGGCAAATCACTTGACCTGCAAGAAACATCTCATTCATGCTGTATGAAAGTTTTTATTTTACTAAATGAATGACATCATTTTTTAAAACTTACAAACGGAATGCCTGTTGCCTTTCTGTCTTCACAGAGGAGGAGGTGGCGGAGGAGGAGGATGGAGAGCTGCTCAAGACAGGGATCAGATTTATAGGTACGCCGGGAGAGGACTTAGCATCTGTACAACAGTAGAAAGTTTCACTTAAAGATGTTTGCCTACTAATGTTTTGGTAAATTATAAGTGGAATACCCAAAATCATACTGTTTGAAGCTCATGAAAATATTCTAACGGAAACTAAATGACTACGTAAAATCTTTGTATATTTGTAAAAATTAATTGGGTTTACAATGGGTTATTATTCAGTGGTACCATTTTATACCTTGATGAGGTACAGTGATATTAAAGTGACTTTAAAGTGAAGTTAAAGTCACTGATAACTCATTTTTTTGTCATTATGTTCTTGTATTACATTTTATTTGCTTTTTGTAAGCATCTAATAGCACATGAACAGCTTTTTTTACACAAAGCTAAATCCTGAAGTATTTGTGGAATTAGTTTTGGGTATTCATGAGGGTGCTGTTGGAATTATTGAATGGTATGGGAATTTTCTCTCATTTTTATTTTTAATTTTTGGAGACAGCAACACTGTTGCCTAGGCTGGAGTACAGTGGAGCAATTTCAGCTCACTGCAGTCTCTGCCTCCCGAGTAGCTGGGATTACAAGTGTGCACCACCACACATTGCTAATTTTTTTGTATTGTAGTAGAGACAGGTTTTCACCATGTTGGCCAGACTGGTCAAACTCCTGGCCTCAAGTGATCCTCCTGCCTTGGCCTTCCAAAGTGCTGGGATTACAGGCGTGAGCCACGCACCCAGCCAGGAATTTTCTTTTACCTCTCTCAATCATACTTCACAAAATTTAAGAGATAAGCAGATTAAAATATAGCAAGGATTATTTGACCTGAAAGTTATTTGATACTTGGACCTGATAATGTACTTCGTTCTCAAGACTTAAACAGACATCGAAGGTTCATGCAGCGTTTCCTTTTTTGGGAACTGATAAAAGGACAGTATTTATAGTCATAAATTTATATGTTTGGTCTAATTATTGAGACTTAGACAATCTTGACATTTGTTTATAGAAGGCGGTCACCTTCTCCTTACTATAGTCGTGGAGGATACAGATCACGTTCCAGATCTCGATCATATTCACCTCGTAAGTTTTTATCTTAATGATTGTTTATATTGTTGTAGTATGGCTTGCTCTGGTGACAAAATACACCAAGTAACTATTCCCTTTTGCAGATAATGGATTGCTTTCAGGTAGTTTTATCTATGCCTATGATTCTGCACACACCCTGAATGGTTTTTGGTTCAAGAACGTTTATGGAAACAACCCTTAGAATCCTATTAATTTTTAAGAAGGAAAAATTGGAGAGCCTCCTGAGCCAGAGTAGGCTCAGAGACTCCTGTTGTTTCTAACTGAAATAGTAACTTTAGTAGCTTTTCAAGAGTCCTTAAAAATTTTTGGACAGCACAGAAACATGGATTACTTTTAGCTCTCAGATTGAGTTATACTTCCCAGCAATTTCTGTTATGCAACATTGCTATCTCATTTCTAGTGTAATACTTATATGGAAGTCTTTCTCTGTTTGGGGGTGGAGGGGTCTGCTATATAGGAATTTCTTAATGGCAGAATATTCTGAAATTCTCAGCATTAAAGTATATTTGATAATTAGTTAACTTAATATTAAAGCATGTTCATTCTTTTCTTCCTAGGTCGCTATTAAAGCATGAAGACTTTCTGAAACCTGCCCTAGAGCTGGGATATTGTTTGTGGACAATATTTTTTATTGTCTCTTGTTTAAAAAGTGAACAGTGCCTAGTGAAGTTAGGTGACTTTTACACCTTTTATGATGACTACTTTTGGTGGAGTTGAAATGCTGTTTTCATTCTGCATTTGTGTAGTTCGGTGCTTTGTTCAAAGTTAAGTGTTTTCAGAAAAGTATGTTTTGCATGTATTTTTTTACAGTCTAAATTTTGACTGCTGAGAAGTTTCTATTGTACAAAACTTCATTTAAAAGGTTTTTCTACTGAATCCAGGGTATTCTGAAGATCGAAGCCTGTGTAAAATGCTACCAAATGGCAAAAAGCAACAATAAACAGTTTGATTTTTACTTTTCTTTCTAACATATCAATGCTTAGCAGAACTATTCAGATTAAGTTGTCAGTAGTAAATTTAAAGACAAATGCCCATTTTCCTCCAGTCCATGAAACATACCATACTTATATAACTGCAACTAAATGTTAAAAATTATGCTCTGTAACTCTGTACTGCTAGTATTAGAACTAAAAACCTTAAAATACAGCCAGTGCTTAATGCTTATATAAATGTGGATTTGTCAGCTTTTATGTAATCTGTAATATGTATAGCAGGAAATAAGAAACGAAGAGTTACACAGTGTATGCCTTAAAAGGCTGTTTCTTAAAAAGCTGTTACAAGGGGATAATGGTATTTCAACTAGTTATCTGCAAGTGACAATACATTCCACCACAAATATACTCTTGTTCTTCTAGCTTTTAGACTATATGAAAAAACTGGGTGCTTCAGAGTACATGATAAGAGAAGGGAACACTACACCTGTGTCATGGATGAACTGAAGACTTTGCCTGTTCATTTTTTAAATATTATTTTCAGGTCCTTTGCTTACCAAAGGAGGCCCAATTTCACTCAAATGTTTTGAGAACTGTGTTTAAATAAACGCAAATGGAAAGAAAAATGCTGGTGCAGCTGTTTACAAGGAAGTGTTCTTGTTCTATTAGAGTTCTTCTGTAGTTAATTGTTAGGGCAGTGTGTTCCTTGGACTGAGATGTATCTTTGCTATTTTGGGGAGGGGGAGATGAATTTGTTTCTGTTCCTGAAAAATTCAGAGGGATATCCATTTGGGGATGGAGTTATAGTAAATAACTAGACTGAGGGTACTTGAAATACATGTTCTTAGTTTTCTTTTGTATTTAAGTAATTTTCATGACCATTGCAGAGATGTTGCTATATGTAGATTCTTTTGTTACCTTGCTAACCTTTATCGCATCTAGATACTAGTACATTTCAGGTACTTTGAGAAGCACTTTATATACAATCTTTAGCAATGAAATGATGTAGAGTAACTTACCTTAGTTCAAATAGCTGTTTAGGTGGCAATGCCACGATCTGAACCTAGGTGATGTTAGTCCATAGTTCTGTTAATCGTGATGTCATTCAGCCTCAAATCTGGGTAGCTGGGTGATGGAAAATACCAGTAATGGAGCATAGGCAGTATTGGCAGGTCTTAATTTGTAAAACTTACTGTCCAGGGTGTTGATAATCTCCAACATAACCCTCAGTTTCTGTCTTAAAGCCTGAGTTTTAGCCCTTTTTGTCGTGTAGCTGTCCTTTATCCTGCTGGTTAAAAGTTTCCTTTTTTAGGCTAGTCTATTTTTCTGGCTTTTAGATTTGGAAGAATTTTAACTATTTGACATGGCCATGAAGTGTGTTAACAGGCAAAAGACCTTGAGGAAAACTTGGAATTTTACCAGGTTGGGACAAACTGAAAAGTAGTGAGACAAAGTGGTAGTCTTTTGATGTGCTGTAATGCTAGTCACCAGTTTCATGAAAGGCAGCAGTTGAATCAGACCAAAAAAAAAACTATGGGAAAGGATAAATTTGAGTCTTAAAGTTCTTGCCTCAAGGCAAAGGGACTTGAAGGCTTTTATATGCCAGTACAAACAATCCATTGCTTATAGCTGTAGGGCTGAGACTACTAAAACCAAATGCAAAGTTCATTTGGAAGATTGCTCAGTTAAATAGTTTCATACTGTAAGGCCCTTGTGAAACTTCTCAGGAAATAAACAGTCCCAACACGTGTAAACAAGGCTGTGTCAAAAGATTTGTAGACCTGGGAGCAGGGGTTTCCAACCTCCTGGCCATGAATTGCCTGAGCTCCGCCTCCTGTCAGATCAGCAACAGCAGTAGATTTTCATAGCAAGAACCCTATCGTGAAGTGCGCATGTGAGGGATCTAGGTTGCGCATTTCCTTATGGAAATCTAACTACATGTTAGAGAATGCTCAAGCTTTACAATGTTTACACTGTTGCCCCTACATAAGGAATATATGCCTTAGGATGAAACTAATAGCTCTTAGCCCTCTTATTCCATTGACTAGGATTCCAATTCTGCAAGGCCCAGGAGGAGAAATTGAGAATTAGAAGTTTCACCCAGAAGAAATAAAAGGATTTGGTTTGCATTATTATCAAAATTTCTGTAAATTGGACGGAAATTTTGAAGATGGATTAGGCTGGGTTTATTATTAGCAGTGGACACACGACCAGTATTCCTTCAGCATGCCATCTCAGTGGTTTTTATGTTATTTGACTCTTGTAGGATTGGACTTAATGCTATGTAAGGGGTTATTGTATACAGTATAAAGGATTATATATAATCTTTTATATATAATGTAAAGACTTGAAAGTGACAAGAATACTGGATTGGTTCTATTCCACTCGTTCTGCCCCTTACAAGACAAGACCCAAAATAATCCCTTTTCCCCATGAGTAATCAGTTGATGAAGTTAAGAAAACTGTTTAAAGAGTTATACTGCCCTGGCAAGAGGAGATGAACTGAAATGGGATTCCACGTTTGTAGAGACCAGGTAATCACTGTTTTTTGGTGTGTGGGGGGTTTGGTTTGGTTGGTTGGTGTGTATGTGTGTGTGTATCTTGAGACATAGTTTCACTCTTGCCCAGGTTGGAGTACAATGGCGGGATTTCAGCTCACTGCAACCTCTACCTCCCAGGTTCAAGTGATTCTCCTGCCTCAGCCTCCCAAGTAGCTGGGATTACAGACAGGCACCACCACGCCCAGCTAATTTTTGTATTTTTAGTAGAGACGTTTTCACCACATTGGTCAGGCATGAGCCACCCACACCCAGCCAAGACCAGGTAATCACTGTTAACCCCTAGAAACTGAAGTTGGCAGGGTTAATAATTAAAAGGAGCAAGATACAATTAGTGTGTGAAAGGATCTGGCAGGAATTTCAAGCTGTAGTTAACTAGATACTAGGTTCAGGCTGGGCGCAGTGGCTCACCCCTGTAATCCCAATACTTTGGGAGGCCAAGCCGGGTGGATCACCTGAGGTCAGGAGTTCGAGACCAGCCTGGCCAACATGGAGAAACCCCGTCTCTACTAGAAATACAAAAATTAGCCTGGTGCGGTGGCAGGGGCCTGTAATCTCAGCTACTTGGGAGGGTGAGGCAGGAGAATCGCTTGAACCTGGGAGGCTGAGATTGTGCCATTGCGCTCCAGCCTGGGCAACAAGAGTGATACTCCATCCCAAAAAAACTAGGTATTACATTCACAGAAATAAAAACACACTAGTCTTTTGCGAAAGACACCTGCAACTATTGAACTATGTTGTAGAAAGATACTCAAACTTACCCAGAAATAATAGTTGACCAACATCATGGGTTTGAACTGTGTGGGTCTCCTTACAGGAATTTTCTTCTGCCTCTGCCACCCTTGAGGCAGCAAGACTGGCACCGCCACTCCCTCAGCCTACTCAATTTGAAGATGATGGAGGATGAAGACTTCTGATCCGCTTTGATGTAGTAAATAAGGATTATAAGAACAGATACACAATATATACACAAGTTTTGTGTTACATAGGTTATTGGTAAAACTTCTGACCAAACTGTTCAGAGAGAATCAAAGGTTGTGCGCAGCTAGGTACAGAGGATTACATGAGAACGAAGACTGTAGGACCTCGAGAAAAAACCTTGCTCATTGTCTTCGTCTGGAGAAATAGGCATGAGTTTACAGGTATCTTCTGAACAGATCAATATCTTAACCGTCTTTGTGGTAAAAGGGTTTGAGCAGCAAATTGGTAACAAAGCAAAGGCAATGAACATATCAACATGGATATCCGCTCAAGTTTAAACATTATTGCCAGCACTGGCAATAATGTGAAACACACTTTGATGGAAATAACTGCAATATTAAGTTTACCTGTGAAGGGGGGACAGTAATTTTCACTGAAAATAACATTCTGGATTTGGTTTCTTGTCATTCCTTTATGGGACCGTACATCCATACCTGTATTGTACTGTGTGACTTGGCTTCTGTACCAGAGTTCACTGGAGAAAACCATTTCTATATAGTTGATACCAACTATACATACTGTTTGTATTGATGTTGAGAGAGGGTTTCACTGTGTACCCCAGGCTGGAGTACAGTAGTGTGATTGCAGCTTAACTGCAGGCTTGAACTCCTGGGCTCAAGTGATCCTCCCATTTCAGTCTCCGAAGTAGGGAACTACAGGTCCAGCTATTTTTTGTGTTTTGTTTTTTGTTTTTTTTTTGAGAGGGAGTTGTGCTCTGTGCAGTGATATGATCTCAGCTCACTGCAACCTGTCTCAGGTTCAAGCGATTCTCCTGCCTCAGCCATCCAAGTAGCTGGGATTACAGGTGCTGCCACCACGCTAATTTTTGTGTGTTTTGTATTTTTAGTAGAGATTTTCAGTGTTGCCAGGCTCGTCTCAAACTACTGACCTCGTGATCCGCCTGCCTTGGCCTCCCAAAGTTCCGGGATTACAGGCGTGAGCCACCGTCCGCTGGCCCAAGTTCAGCTAATTTTAAGAGAGAGGGGTCGCGCTATGTTGCCCAGGCTGATCTCAATCCTCCCACCTTGGCCTCTCTAAAGTGTTGGGATTACAGGCGTGAGCCACCGCATCTGGCCCGGTTCTCTATTTTTAAATCCTAAATTAGAATTAACTGAATCATAAGGTGTATGAACGTTTTTAAAGTTCTTGAATGTACCAATACGCATCACTAAATTATTTTCCAGGGCTGTACTAACCTACCAGAAAATGTATGAAAGTGCCTTGAATCCTTAGTCTTAACACAAAGTTGATTGATAAAAGCACTTTGCTCAAGTTTGGAAATATCTGGACTATCTCATGTGAAAGGACATATGCTTCTAACTTTGCCTGTGCCCTTTAAAGTTTGCTTTTATTCACTCCATCTCAAGGCAAGTAACAACGGTGAATAGGGCATAGTTGTCTTCCATTCATCCCATTCATTGCTGTTTTTTTTGTTTGTTTTTTGTGATACAAAGTTGAGCTCTTGTCGCCTAGGCTGGAGTGCAGTGGCACCATCTTGTCTCACTGCAACCTTCACCTCCCAGCGGTTCAAGCAATTCTCCTGCCTCAGCTTCCTGAGTAGCTGGGATTACAGACACCTGCCACCACGCCTGGCTAATTTTTGTGTTTTCTTGCCATGTTGGTCTTAACTCCTGATCTCAGGTGATTCACCTCCCGCGGCCTCCCAAAGTGCTGTGATTGCAGGCCTGAGCCA